AATCTAAAAAATCATGTGTCAATTCACGAGTTTGCTCACAGAGCACTTTGATTGCTCTTCAGGACGACGAGTTTGCCATCTACAACGGGAACCAACAGAAAATAAGGTAACTGTAACAGTGCTTGGTGTCCATCACCTAGCTTTGAGGGTTGCAGTTAAGAGGACTTCATAGATCTGATTCATAAACTGCTTTACATTTTCTTTTAAATTAGTTGGGAGGATTTGGTGTTATATCAACACATATTTTCTTGATAAGATTTTCCATTCTCGGTATTTGTTTGTTGGATAATAGATTCATATTAAAAAGAGACGGTGCATCTTGATCAATTCTGGATCTGTAAAATAAACTGAGGCCAAGCTTTGGCCGGGAAACGATTTTTCGTTTCTGGCAAAGCCTGAAGTGATACAGTCTCTCTTCCTTCCCAGAGTTGTTAGGGAGCTTACTTGAGGCTGTTTACTACCCTAAGTCACGTAATGCTAAAAAAAAAAGTGCGTTAAGCCTCGGCAGTTATGCAGGGCCAGATTTATTTGATACTTTTTTTAGAACTATAACCTTTATTTACGATACGTGTGTGTAAAATATCTGTCCAAAGATCTTTAAAAATTTCCATTTTTTTGCAGATATCTGGTTGAGTTTGTGTTGCGTGGTGATGTTGTAGTCGCTGATCGAGATGATGCCTCGATTGATAGCGGGTTTTTCGATGATAGCTCGGAAGCTGCTCCCGAAGGTATTGAATGAACGTCCTCCATTTTGACATTTTTATGTAGGTTTCTAAAATTAAGGTGACAGGTCGCTGTTATTCAATTATATTATGGATAATAAATTGCGATATGAGTCTATTTTCTATTTGTTATTGCTTTTAAGCATGTTCTTACAATAGTTGAAAATGTAACTAGAGTTTTGAACTGATTTCAAATGCTTTTTCCTAGACCATCGCGGCAGTGTAGTCCTAACGGATGTGATGTCAATTGTGGATCCTCTGACTAAAGTTGAGGCAGGACTTAAGGGAACTGGAGACAAGTCCATCCCGTTGCAGTCAGTTCATATTAGAGCTAGGCTGTTGGATTTGGCGGCTCAGGTTGGTCAAATTGCCGAGGAAAATTTGATTAAGCTTATTTGGTAGGCTACATCATTCATTCCCTTTCTGATTGAGCTGCATCGCGATCTGTGATATTATGTCACATTTTTTCCGGTTTCTGGGCGCGAAAAATCAATTTCATCTTGAAGAAGGCTACAAAATATTAGATCGGCAAGGTGGAAAAACATCGAAGGGAAGAAGATAAACCAAGAGGGAGAAGTATGGTCAAGGATGGCGCAGATTGACACGGATTGCAAATTAGTAATGATTAGTAATGACTAATGATTAGTTTGATTAGACAGGAAAACACCAGAGAAGCAAGACTAAACTAAGATTACATAATCTTAGTTTAGAGTAAATGTTTTTTTTTTTGACTACGGATTGCAAGCGATCTAGTTTAAGATGCAGGAAGCGTGACGTAGCTCCTATCGTCTCTCTCCAAGAGCTGTTTGAATTTTTGGCGATTATAAGCTTACAAATCATTTTTATATTCTTTTTTTTTTTTTTTTTTTTACCACAGGTGATAGTTTTTCAAGAGTACAGCAATAACAGCTCGACGCCCATAGAAGCTAAATACGTTTTCCCTCTCGACGACATGGCAGCAGGTTTGTCTTTAGTCGACGGCCTGATAGTTTATAGAAAAATTCGAAACTCTTTTTAAAAAACTTGTGTGATGAACTTTCGAACTCCTGTAATTTGTATCTTGGCTACGGCAGATGACCTTCGGACTTGTGGTTATAGTTGAGGGGTAAACTTTGTTGGATTCTCATATTATCCAGGAGATTCACTTCTCTGTAATAGTTTTTTCCCTTGTTTTGGTTGAGAGAATGAATTCAAAATTAAGGGTTCACGTTGCCGACGAATCGGGCCCGCTGTTTTATCTTAACGGGGTTTAAAAAGCTCCCGAAGTACTGTTGAATAGAAGTTTAACATACCTTCTCTGTCGACGTCCTTCTGGTCATAGTTTGTGGTTTTGAGGCGTTCATCAATGGTAAGCATATCGTTGGTGAAGTGAAGGAAAAAGAACAAGCGCACAAAGAATATAGGGAAGCCATCAGCAAGGGGCATGGGGCCTACCTTATGGACGAGGAAACTCCGGTAGGTAACGTGTTTTCCACCTGTTTTTCAACCACGAAACTTCATCTACGTTGTGTTGTGATATTGAAGTTGCTCATTTGAATTGAGTGAACACAAGAAGAATTTATAGGTCTAAAACTTCGAAAAGATTATATTTTTTTAGTTATCCTGTCTCCTTCAAACAAAGTTTTGGCTATCATGCAATTCGTACACCTCCAGCTTTGTAGCGAAGTCTTTTCTATTTTGAGATAAAGGTAATCGTCGATAGCTTTAGTGGTGGCCGAGAGGGATTACCTCCTCGTAGATTTCTTGAAACGTAGAATCTTTAGAGTAAATGTTCATTTGTTGTTATATGGAGTAAGACTGCGCCACCACCACAACATGTCGCCCCCTTTCTCCGAATTCTCTGGGTTCCTCAAGGTAACGCTAATAAGATCCCACCCTTTATTTATATCTCATATTTCTCTTGCTTATTTCATATTTACTCAGGATGTGTTTACAGTCAGTGTTGGAAACCTTCCTCCCGGTGCTCAAGTATTAATCAAGATAACTTATGTCACTGAATTAACAGTGGACGGCGAACACATCTGTTTCTCTCTCCCAGGCACCGTGGCTCCGTGGACACGTGACAAGGCCTTAGAAGAAGTAACTCAGGTCATGACCCACGTTTTATGCCTTCTTTTACTTACTTCTTTTGTGTTGTTGCGCGTTTGACTTCAACTTCATCGTTGAATCAAGTTCTTTTGTTTTTTTTTCTTATCAGACTTATGTGGATACAGTGCGGATAGGGGAAGTGGGACCCTGGTGAGTTCTGGGATGGGAGTGCATTGATTTGTAAACAGCTGTTAATTTTTTCTCTTTATTTTTGAAAGTTGCTCGGGTGCAACCTTGAGAAATTAAGCTGCATTTCCTTTTTTTATTATCCTTAATTCGTTGTTCTCTTTCAGCGATCCCGCCTTTGACGTTTCTATGAAAGTGTCCGTGGAGATGCCCTTTGAGATTCGCTCACTTGACTCACCGACTCATGCGATGAAAGTTAAGGTAATATTCATTCACTCACGCTTTTGTGGAGCACTTTTTCATTGCGTATCGAAAGATGTAACGGACTGCATTGGCTACTTTCAACTATGTTTTGTGACTGGTCCAGAAAACTCGCGCCTTCTTCTTCTCAATTAATCAGTTACAAGACTAAAACCGATCACGACTTGATCGCCCGCGTTTTCCTGCGCTTCACGAGGTTTCGGTTTTACTTTGATATCTCATTGATATTTTCCTCAAGTTTTGGTTTTAAAATACGCAATTGAATAGCGCTCTCTAGTTATATTTCTTGACTTCATTTCTTACTTGTGCCTTTCGCATTTCCTCTTCTATCCACGATTCTAGAGAGGAAGATTTTAATCGCCTTTTGTTAATTGTAAACTATATGTTGATAAAGGTAGATGAGTCGCTGCAGCGAATTTTGAAAACCTAGCGTTTCGAGCATTAGCCCAGCATAACGTTGTTATCTGAATATTCATGTTTGTTTGTTTCTCTATCCAGCGAACAGCCACCAAAGCAGTGATAGAACTGGAGCCAGGCCAGTCTCTTGGGGATGGATTTCAACTTTTGATTGGTTTAGCAGAGATTCACGTACCCCGGATGTGGGTGGAGCGGCACACCAACAATTCAGATAGACAGGTCAGTGGTCAGCTCTCTAGTGTTATCTTTCACATTGAACACTTACAATCACTTGTACTTTTGATGTAAAGAGGCGGAATAGCAAGGTTAATACTCAGGACCTGTGACGACCTGCCTTTCCATTCCAAAAGAGTTAAGATCCTCTTAGTTGCTTTCTGCTGTGGAAGGGCGATGAGGGCCACGTGTGTTCTCCTCTAAAGACCTTTAATCTCATGGACGCATTTTTCCTCTAGGCTTGTATGCTCACATTTTATCCTGAGTTCGAGGCTAAAAGTCCTTCTGAAGTTGAAGTGATATTTCTGCTTGATCTTTCCTGCTCAATGAAGGTCAGTGTTGATCTCTGTCAATATATTATTTGTACGTTTCTGTACAGAAGCGCGTAGTAGTTATGTTCTTCGCATGCTAAAGCAAATCCCTCTGGGGATCAAATGAGAGCTGTTCATTTCCGGCGCTAATCTCAAACTCCAGAACCATTTAATTAGGAAATTTGCGTCATTTTTCTATGGTTTGTCCACAGCTGTTTAATCTCAGGTTGTGCTATTTGTACTTTCCGAAGGAAACGATAAGCCAGGGCAAGGAAGGTACCTGGGTCAATTTTTTCCGGAAACGTGCCGCTGGCCTCTCAGAACCCCAACCCCATTGTAGTATATACTTAAGCCAATTACAGACCCCATCTTCCTTTTACAAGGAACGAACCAAGCTCTAGGGTTACTGTGAAATCTGATTTCAGATCTAAAAGCAGACTAAAATTTAATTCTGGGTTAGCGCTAATCGGCCTTCGAACAACTGGGCCCAGAACTGCACCATTGTCCTTATTGCTCTGAAAAAAATATGTTATACTGCTGACATCTGTTTTCTCTAACAGGGTTCAAATCTTAACGACGCCAAAAAGATACTACTGATGTGCCTTAGTCTTGTGAAGGAAGGTTGGATTTTCAACGTACTCGTGTTTGGAAGCAGTAAGTTCATTTGTGTGTTAAAGGGATTTTTTGAAAAAAGATATACCACGGACTTAAACATTGCAACTCAAATGCGTTTCTTCATTGGAAAAGAAAGTTTCATGTGTCTTATCTCATACTAGTCCATGGTCATATTTTCGTCAGAATAGCCAATTGCATTCGCTCATGCGCCTCACATTCGTAGACTCCGTTGAAGCCACGTTAGACATAAGAGGGCACCACTCCTAAAGCACGAAGATCAGAACAGTGCCAAGTGTAAAAGAGAAGCTCGAAAAAAATCTGTTTTAAATTTTTTAACAACTAATGTCTTCAGGCACCACGATGTTTGCACATACTCGTCCCCATGATGTGCAATGTTCCTGGAGCCGACACCACAACTGTGGTGCGATATTCGTGAACCGTTAGAGTGGAGTCGAAATATCTGAAGTTTTAATTTTTGAACACATCTTAAACCACCTGGATTTAGATGTTAAATGGTGTGCATTTTGAAGCGTAATTTTGTAACAACTCAAGCGTGCAAATATGAAATAACTATCCTTGAAAAACGCCAGTGCATTTCAGCATGATAATCAGTCGCGCGTTAACGTCACGTCGTAACGATTGCGGATTTCAAGACATTTAAAAAATTTCACTTATGGTGTGACGTATTTTCCTTTCTTTAAGTACTCCCTTCAAGATTCTTGAGCGTAAGCTTCTTCTCTCCAACCTTTTTATTTAAACCTCTGTTCAGTGTGTTCATAACTCTCAAATAAATAAAGCAATGGTTTAACTGTGCGAGAGAGAGAGAAAAAGAAACTTGGTTTTGCTTCATTCTTTACAGATATTGTGAAAATCACTCTATTCTGTCACGAGTCAATTATTTAGTCAAAAGATAATCAGACTCTTTAATTGATAGTAGTTTAAAGTCCATATACTCAAAACTTTGAAACCATTATTAAATCCAACGGATACAGATGCTTTAGAAGGATTTTACTGTAAAGTTTTCTCCAGAATGTGTCTTTTAATTTGTCGTTTTCTAATGATTTTTCGTTATTTAAAATGTGCAACCCACGAAGATGACTTTGAACGTGCGCAAGTTAGATCTGCTCAGTTCTTACGTATTGTTTGGAATTTGCATAATTGTTTTTACAGTTTGCAATATCGATTCATCAACAAGCGAAGCGCCGGCGCCGGTTCAGAAAAGCAAAAATATTTTTAGGAGCGGAGAAATCGTTAAAAATGACGAAGGTGCTGACGAGACAAGGAAAGCTTAAACAAGTCGAACGAAACGGTGCGGTGATGTCGCACGATTTAGATGATAGTGTTTACAAAAATGGGTCACTGAAAGAAGGTAAAACTGAAGAGGTCCACCGCTACTCCATGTTATTACGTGAAGATCAAATCCCACAAGCTTTCCGCACCGAGTTTCTTACGACAAGATACCGGCCGCGTAACCTGACCGCTCTCGATAGCGTGAAGAGTGTTTTCTACGCCAACAACGAGACAGTAAATTTCTGGAGCCATGTTCTCTCCGCCGTGATACTCATTGCCCGCTACTGCTCAGTGGTGTGGAACCATAATCCTTTCACTGATCATTTTTATTTTCCACTGGTGTCGTACACTCTCGGCTGCTGCATTATGTACACGATGAGTTGTGTGGCCCATATGTTCAGCTCTATGACCGAGCTACAAAACCACATCGGGTACTACCTGGATTACGCTGCTATCAGCGTATACACATTTACCAATGGTCAAGCCTTCTATTTTTACAGCCATCCGCTGGGATCTGGGCTCCTTTTGTTCGACTGGCGGGAGTTGTTCCTATTCGTTTCAGCCCTGATTTCGTTCAGTGCCACTTTCAACTGTTGCAAGTCTCGTCATCAGTGGTTCGATCTCCGTTTCATCGTCCGCACCGGTTTCTACATCCTATCCTGGTTGCACAACTGTTCACCGTACTTCGTTCGTCTGTTCTTGTGCTCTTCTGATCCTGCATGCAATCCCGATTCTCTTGGTCTCTTCGTAGGGTGTCTTATCTCGTTCGCCGCCGCTGCCTTAATGAATATGACCCGAATACCTGAACGGTTCGTTCCCGGGTTCTTCGATTTTATCGGGCAAAGTCACAACTTTCTTCATGTGCTTACCACTACCGGTGACCATTTTGCATTCTCCGTTCTCCTTTCGGATCTCTCAGCCAGAAAAGAATTCCTCAGCACGGAACATACACCGAGTTTTTTCGAGACGATCGGTTTGACTCTTTTAGTTCTGGTTGGGAATCTCGCTATCGTACTCTGGTTTGCTAGGTCTTTAATTTCGAATTCATCCGGTAAAATTGGACATGATAAATCTACTTAAACTGAACTTTTAAATTTCTGCGAAGGAAGGCGAGAAGTTCGCCTATGTTGCAAATACTGTAATTTGATCGAAGTGGATGTTTCCTCCAAAAGTAAAATTTATTTTAAGTTTGCCATTGTTTTTCTAAAGAGGAAAGCGTGAAAATTGTAAAGAAGAACAAGCGGTTTGCTTTCTACTGTTGAGATACATATAGCATGAATTTATTTGAATATTTTTTGTTATTTTAAGTACGGATGTTTTATATCACCGAGGCAAGTTGTCCTCTTCAGAGAAATGTCCGAAACTTTTTCTTCCAATTAGGACTTGATCTTTTAATGAGGTTTTCTATATATATTCTTAATTAGAAAGGTATTTGAATTAATTTTTTGCAGATATCAATGGCCTATTAACACTTCAGTGTTCCACGCTATTCTTGTGCTGATCATTGTAATGTAATGTCCATGAAAATTGCATGGAAATGAACTTTTTACAGACATAGTACCTTTGTTCTACTTGTAAATTGATTTCATGATTGTTTTTACTCGCAAAATGTTTTTACCATTGTAGTTAAAACAAATTTTGAGACAGCTTTGGTCATCGTACTCGAACTGTTATCAGAATAACTGCTTTTAAGTGGCGCACATTCAATTCTCGTTTCAGCAGCTCTCTTTAAATGAACGGCCCTCCAATAAAAAATTAGAAACAATTGAAAAAAGCGCTCTCTTCCGTCCCTTTGTTGTAAGGACGAGTTACAAAACCTTTAAGAACAATGTTTTATTATGAGAGAGGATTAGATTTCGGCGTTGATTCTTTGACTGGTTTATCACACTCGTCTATCCTTTCTTCCAATAACTGATAATAGCTTCTAACTAAAGCATTTCAATAAAGGAAACCATTTCCTTTTCTTCTACATAGCGCTCATTGCAAAATTGTAAGTTGTGACTGATCCTAACATTCACCATCTTTCTATTCTACTCATAGTATCTGGTTTTTTGTTGTTATTTTTTCTTTGTTTTTGTTTTTGTTTTTTTCATTCTGCATCTTAAAGTGACCACATCTGGCCTCGTTTTTGGGAAAAATTCAATGAGTGTCTTCTCTTGCCCTTGTAAAAGCGCCCATTTATTTCCTGTATTAAAATATACGCCCCAAACGCGAGGATTTTCGAAGGTGCTTGCTTACGGATGTTTTTATGGGTCTGAAGTAGTTGTTGTTTTATCAAGAGCTGCATGGAATTTTGATATGTTTCCTCGTGATACCTTATCTCAAGTAGAGAGAATAATATTCTTTTCAGATACTACATCAACTTGTTCCTGTGGTAGCCCTGCTCGCATTGTGCGGGGCTCCACTTGGAGGGCTATTTTAAGAGCTCTATAAAGCAGTCTACTTTTAGTCTAGTTCAAAGGATATATTACGACTGTGGAACTCTATCCACTTAGAGCATCCTTTTGATGATAGGTTATTGCATCTAAAAAATTCTTCTCAATAATTTAAGGGAATTATCCGTCTAGACAGAAATTATAACAAGAAGACTGACTGTGCGTGCATTTCATGCATGCGCTTCAACCGTTACATTCAAGCAAACGTCGTGATTTATAGCACTACGATTAGCGAATTTCCGCTGAAACGCTAACGTTTCCATAGAAATTTGTTAAATAAAACTTTTCTGGTGACTTGATTGTCCAGAGTTATCACCTGCTTTGATACTATAAAGAAACAAAAAAAGCGAGAAGCCCTCACGAAAGGGTACTGCTTCTAGCAACCTTTTCTCTATCCAATGAATGAATTTTATCGTTTTGTTTCGCTACAGTATTGTATCACCTAGCTTTGTTAGTTCGTTTAATGTACATTTTAAGCTATACCGAAACATCCGCGAAGAACGAGGAAAATCAGATTTGTGTTGATTTTCCTAGATAGAATAAATCACAACGGAATTGTTTTTTTTTTTTTACATACATCTCTGTACAATTAACTCCAATTTCATGCGGTCCGTTTTTTTGTAATACATTGCGAAGTCGATGGTTCGAATACTCAGTGAGTGACATTGATAAATTTTTGTGGAGTTTGTCACGAACGTGTTTTTACCTTGAAATACAAATTGTTAACTAGTATTACTGTTTTGTTTCAAATTATTTTCAGTTTGGCCCATATTTACGCAACTATTCAAATATAAACAGAGGGTCCCTCGAGACTTATACAATAAATATTAACATGAATAATGTGACTTTCCTAATTTATCAAATTTATGCGCCACAGGCGAAAAAATCAAGATTTACGAAAATCTTTTGTTCGCCTTTATAATACTGGCAAAGGTAATTGCTGGCGTTCTAACGCTGGGAGATGCTTTCGAGAAAGATGATCTGGTAAATATTTAAAATTTACATGACGTTAGTCAACGCGAGCAGACGCGCGAGGGATTCTACAAGCCAGTTGAACTTATTATGTCATCCATTTCATACCGGTTTTAGCGCTGGCTTTGTTTTGTTCGGGAATGTTGTATTAATCTGTGGTTTCGTGTAGTTCTTAATGAACTTTTCAAGAGAATGTCTGCGTATCTGTCCTGCCAGTGTAGCAGAGAACGATTTTATTTATTCATGATAAGCGTCGCGACTGGTAAGCGGTCCGATCAGCGCTTGGCGTTTTCAGAACTGGTAGCGGTTTGATATCAGTGCTTGACTTGACAACCGGGTAAGCTCAAGGAAATTGAGCAAAAGCGAAAGCACCTAGGAAATCAGCCGTAGGTGAGCCACATTTTTTATTTAACGGCGGGAATCTTCAAGTGAATGACCCACAAATGAATAAACTGTTGTCTAATTGAGGAAGACAACGCCATCAATCAATTTTATCGCTGAGTGAAACGAAAGAAGGAGCTGCTAATCCGTGAGAATGCATTTAAAGACGTACAAAAGGCCTCAACAACCCAACGAAATGAAAGAAAGAACGCCGACAAACTGTCACGAATGGGAAAATAATTTTTCAGCCTGCGACAATATGAAGAAAACTTCAAGTGTAAAAGAGAACTCTGAAGGGGCGAACAAGAAAAAGTACGGCTTGTCAAGCAACCAAATCCCTGAAGTGTTCAGGACGCCATTCATCGTGTCTGGTTATCGACGACCTGGATTAACCTTCTGGGAATGTATCAGAAGTTTGCTCCGATCTTCCAACGAAACTATAAACGTCTGGAGCCACCTGCTTGCTCTAGTACTGTTCGTGTCTGTAAACATGACGTCCTTACCCACGACTGACCCATTTTTTCTGCCGCTGATCTCCTTCGCCGTGGGAATTTCGGTTCTGTATTTAATGAGTTCCTCTGCACATCTTTTCAACTGCATGTCAGAGGATTCCCATAGAATTTGTTTCTTCTTTGACTACGCGGCTATCGGGTTTTACACGTTCACGGCCGGCCAAGCAATGTTTTTCTACTCTAGGACCGCGGGCGCGTCTGCTTGGGCAGTGCACGATTCGCTTACCGTTTTCCAGTCTATTTCGACGTTCTTTTCGTTTTTCATAACTTTTTTGTGTTGCGCATCAAACCATCCACTTTGTAAAGATTACAAAGCCTTGCTGAGGGTCGGCGTTCTTGCCGTAAATTGGCTTGTTATCACATCACCATACACGGTCCGTATTTTGTTATGTGAAAACGCCGACCCAGCGTATAACCGCATATCCACGGTGTATTTCAAACGTCATGTTGTCTTCTGCGGTTTAGGCGCCGCGCTGTACGCCACGAGAGTTCCAGAACGTTTAATGGCAGGTGTGTTCGATAATTTTGGCCAAAGCCACAATTTAGCTCATATATTGATCGCCATGGGTATCCAACAGGCGTTCAACGCGGCCCAAGTGGATCTTCAAGAAAGGAGATCAGCTCTGTTAGATCGTTTTTCTTCACAGCCCACTCTTATGAACACGGTTGGCGTGGCCATGTTTGTTCTCTTTGGACATGTTGCTATTGTCTTGTGGTGTGCGGGAAAGCTGCGTTCTGTAAAGCACAAATCTGAGAGTATTAACAATTAGTTATCGTATAAACTGAGAATGATTTCAGACTTATTTTTAAGGCTTTAAATATTACATTTTCTTTGAGTCCTTTCCGCATTTTTCAAAAACGGTGATATAAGATCTCCCAAAAACCAAAAATAGTGTAGGAATGAGTTTTATCTCCATTTAAAGTAGCTACTTAGTGATGTATTGACTCGTTCTCCGCAGCATGCAAAATTATGCTGATGTGATTTATGTAGGCGACAGAGAGCCTTATCCAAGAGTGTTTAGCGGCATAAAGTCGCTCAGGTTGTTTAAAGAACATGAATAACGAGCCGTTGTCAGTCTTTCTGAGTGTTCTTCGAATATCCCGTGAGTGTTTATCACGGCATAAACCCTTGGAAAATGTATCTTACTTCTTTCATGACATAACCTTAACATGGATTTGTCAGGTGGTGAATTAAATTTATTTCAATCATAAAAGCGATTGTTATGTGGTGCTTAATTGTTTATTGGCGTTAGAAACCAATCAAAATGCTCGAAAGAGTAAGGAGGACCTGCATTAGCCCAATAGTTGAAAAAAATGAGATGAAAGATTCAGAAGAAGTTATGAAGAGAACTAACCAGGGCTAACGTAATTTCAAATGAAGCACAACCTCGTTCAGAGACAAATAGAGACTGATCAATTTTGACAGTGAAATCAAGACTTTCGTATCCAGAAATTGTCTGACGAATGCGAAAGAGTACTACTGCGTACAAAAACCTTCCAAGCTTAGAACTCAGGTCTGCACCAGGAATTTTTTCTCGGTTTTAGTTTATCTCCGCGAACTCTGCTCTTCTAGCGTTTTTCCTATTCTGTTTACTCAATTCAAATTGTATGAAAAGCAGTCATGCCAGAATGCACGAAATGCCATGTACATAAGTTTATATTTAGCTACTTTATAGTCACAGTGTAGTACCTCTTCTTTAATTAAATAGTTCTAATTTTCCTTGCAGTCAGTACTGAGCAATGATCATAAATCCTCCTCAAAACCCTCAACAATTGTTTTACAGAAAAAACCTTCCGAACCAGCTTCAATCGCAGATCAGAGAATCAAAAGTTTCTGTAATTTATTTGAATTAGAATATTTATTATCTCGTCAACAATTCAGATGTACATATGAATAGCGTTTGATTTGCCAGGTGCTCTCCTCATTTTGTGGGAGTCAATGGCCTGGTAGAACGTGGGCTCGGAAACGGAATTGACCAATCAACTCGCGCATACCTTAGAATCCTTGGTTTTATTTGATTTGATTGCAATGAACATTGAAGTTAAAATAAGAGTAACACGCTCCATTTCCATGCTCTTTTCGTAAATCCGTGGACGCTACATTTCTGTCAATGGTTTGTTGACTACAAACAAGAGATTAGTTTATAAATATATATTTAAATATATGAAATTCATATATCTAAAATCTTCATTCATTACTTGGATGGTTTATTTGGACTCAACACATTGACCAGCTCCCAGTTGGCTTGTTAGCTCAGTTGGTAAAGCGCTGCACCGGTATCGCAGAGGTCATGGGCTCAAATCCCGTACGAGCCTGAATTTTTTTCAGGTCCTATTTTCAACTACTCGTTTCAGTAGTGTTCTTAGCTGCGAGGATCTCTTAATTTCATCTCTTCACCGCAGTGCAAATATATGAAATTCAGATTAGTTTGTAGTTTAACTACTGTGTTTTGACGGCAGGTAGGGAGGGACACCTTTAATTGTCAACTTACTCTGTAAACGTTTTTTAGCATTTCCATCGCGTCTTTAGCCCTTTGTGCAGCTTCAAATTGATATTAAATCAGTTCAGTTAACTGGCTGTACTTGTCTGTTTTCAGAACATTCAGAGCTGTTTCTATATAGCGTACGAAAAGACAAAGATTCTTTTGAAGAAGCTAAAAAATTTGTCGAGGTAAGCAAACTCCTAAGCTTCCGTAGGGTGGCTCAGTTGACCAGAGACATATCGGCGTATACTAGGAGCTCATTAATGGGCTCCTGCGTTTACTCAGATTCTCGCAATGGTAAAATATGAGCACAGGCTGCATACGATTTTCTCAGTTATTTCACTTGAAAATTTCTCATGCTGGCAAAATTTACCGCGTGGAAGGCACGTGAAAAGAATTTAAAAACTTGTTGAGAATGTAATTTCTTCCTCAGATTGCCTTCTCATTGAACATAACATTCTTTTTCTGTGCAAACGAATTAAAATGCCATTCCATTCCTTTGGTTTTCAACCCGGTTGAAAGTCAAGATCGTTAGTTATTACGTCATTTTTTCCAGTCCTTAATCGCTGACAAAGGCAGCACAGAGTTGTGGCGAGTCCTTCGGAAGCTGTACATGTTACCCACCTTATCGACCGCTGACCACCCACGCAATCTGTTCTTAATCTCGGATGGCCACGTGACAGAAGAGGAAACCACTCTTGGCTTGATCCGCAATCATTGCCAAAGTGACAGGCTCTTTTCCCTTGGTGTGGGGTAAGTAACCGGAAAAGGGCCTTTCCAGGTTAGGATCGTATTGTACCATATCTCCCAAAGGCTTCAGCTCTGTGTTGGATGCTCAAGCTAAGTTTAAATTTTGCAAACACTCAGGAAGGGCGTTTTGAGCTCTCAGATTTTGTAAACTTAATGTTTTTTCCATGAGATAAAGTTTCCCTTGTTTTTAATCTTAGCAAAGAGATCCAAAGATGTCGTCCAATTCGGTCTTCTTTTCTTTTCTGATGACAGTCGACTCAAGTCCGTGTGCTGCGGTTGGATGCCGGTACCAACTGAGCTACGATGCTTCAAGTTAGGATTGAGGCAGATCTCGGGGTGCGCAGCATCCCGTAAAGAAATGTGATCTCTGATATTAAATTATTTTTTCCTGTTCTACCTGTAGACGATAAGTGACAATTCGGATTTTTGGTTAAACACCACCGATGACTTGAGGCGTTACCTTTGAAATTGCTATATATATCCGTTTGTATGCGAGAAGTTTCTCATCACTACACCTTGTTTGGTTCGTTTCCTTTTCTCCTCAGTTCCACGGCCAATCGTTACCTTCTACGAGCAATGTCCAGAGTTGGAGCTGGTGCCTCAGAGTTTTTTGAAGGTAGTGCCAAGTCTAAATGGGAAAGAAAGGTATGGAATTCCTGTCAACAGAAAAGGCTATTATGACTCGAGATGAAAATTGATGGCATGAAATTATTTATCGATGACAACTTCCGCCAATCTTCATTGTCTCTTAGAAAACGGCCATAGCTTCTGGAAAAATTGATTATCAAAAGAATATTTAAGAATTCGTTGTTGAGAAAATAATGTTCATTTAGGTGAGATCGCAGTTGTCCAAAGCTGAGCAACCAGGCCTGACATCAGTGGGAGTAACCTGGCAGCAGCACGATTCCGGGTCCAGTCCCCCTGTACAAGCTCCTCACCAACTCTTGTCGCTGTTCAACGGTTCTAGACAAGTGGTTTATGGATTTGTTGATAACTGCACACAGGTAACTACTGATTTTCTGACATCAAGTTCATTTTAAGGCCACACTGATGCTTTGAATTTTTTCTGAACTCCTACCAGGCCACCTTGAGCGCAGAGGTTAACGGCACAACGGTATCAACCATGGTGTCTACCGCTGATCTAAATATCACTAAGGGCAAAGTAAGTGCAAGTGGAAAAAAACTATCCAGCTTTCAGTGATTGCATTTTTGGTAATTTTCTACAATCGCTTCCTTGCACAGATTCTTCATCAGCTGACCGCGCGTGCAATCATCAGAGACTGGGACGAAGGTAGCCTGCATGAGCAGCGCACTGGGCATGAGGTTTGTCTCAAAAACATAGCTAATATTAAATAATATCATTCATCATTGCATTTATTTTAGCCGCATGTTGTCGGTGCTGAGTAATTCAAATCGTGTTGGAGGGAGAAAGAGGGATTGGCCCTAGTCTCCATAAGATGAGACAGAAACAATGAGGATTATGACGATAACTTCAAATGGTGATTGACACATTACACACTGATTCACTATCCTGATGGAGGGGTCTGGGTTCAAACCCTGCTCAGGGTTATCATGTTGTGTTCTTGGCGAACACAATTTACTGGCTGCGAGTTGTTCAAGGGGCTGACTAAGAGGCTAAACTAACACTAAATAACGGATAAGTCGCTATCTAGTGGATAACTGCGAACAAAACGTATTGCGCTATCCACGGGATAGAGATTTGTCTTGGGGATTGAGTTATCCACCATTCAAAGAACCGGGGGCTGCAGTTGCATGTTAATACCTAAGTGCTTACTTATGTCTAGGCCGTCGAGATTTGCCTTGTTCATGACTGAACCGAGGTTGTTGTTATTTTATGATTCCGTAGATTGTGAAGAGAGACAGGAAAGACTTCATCGTTTCCTTGAGCAAGACGTTCTCCGTGGTATCCAAATTCACAAGTTTTGTTGCAGTTGAACACAGAGAAAAGGTAGAAATGAGATAAAGGGAGAAATATGCCCAAGAAACCATGCAATTTAGTCTCATTGATGAATAGCGTATGTACGAAATTATGATTCTTGCTTCATTTTGAGATTATTAAGAGTAACCGAGCCTTTCTAAGTCTTTTTTCAATTTGCTGAAGATTCGACCATGGAGGTCGCCATATTAAACCTTTCTTAGCGATCCGGCTGCTTACCTGTGACATAACAAGGCTCATTCCCCACTCTTCCATCTCTCGCCAATTTGTTTGAAGCTACAGGAGCGGCAGAATGTGAACCGTTGCTCATAGGTTATGTGTGCGTTCCCATTTTACTGAATTGTTTTCAAAATGGCGGAGTCTAAAGTTGAATTTTTAAAGCATTAGGAGAAAATTTTCGAATGGCGAGATAACTCTGGAATCTCAAATAGGGGTAAGCTAAGAATTTACATGTAAATGCTTTTAATAACATGAATGATAAGGTTTCCAGAGTATACGTCTCGTTGAAACCCTGTTTAAAGGAGTATTGGCTGGAGTTGAATTACCCATATAACCTCTCAAAATTCTTGACAACATGTGTGTTGCTTTTCCGTTTCCTTCTTATAGGACGAGAAATTCAAGGAGGGCCAGGGACCGAGTATACTCGAGTTGGTCTCTACGGAAGATGTAGACATATTGGAATACATAGCTTGGGAGAGTCGACCTGTAATGGAGAAAAATCAGGAACTGGTAAGAATGGTCCTTTTTCAGCAGTAGCCTTCAAATCGAGCTTACTGCAAAGCCTTATATCTTGTTTTTTTTATGACCTTAGTCCCAAGATCTAGCTATAAATTTTCTCCATTTTCCAGAACATATTTCTCATTTTAGGCTCGGAGAATTTACTGTCAAATCAAACAACATCCCCTAGTTGATATTCTGGTATTCCTTTCTTCCCATCAGCTTTCTGCTTGAAAATGTATAGATCTTGTAAAGACAAACTTCTTTTGAAGTCACTCCTTGTTGGGAGAGGTTTTAACTTAACAAAAAGAAAAGCGTTTTCGGGGTTTGGTGTTTTGTTAAAATGATTTTGGAGGTCAAGGCTAAGATTGTAATTTTGTCGTTATGTGCAAATCTGCATGATTGCCCTCCACGTTCCAACCACAGAATATTGAAGAGAAACTAGAGAAAAAGCTCCAAGAGGCGAAGGTGTTGGAGACAAGCTCAGTTTTACAAAGCGAGCGCCTTTACAAAGAAATTATTGAAGAAGCGAAGGAAAACCTCGGTGCTGATCAGCCAGTGACAGTTAAGGTAAACTGTGCCTATTTGATTTCCATGGTTTTTTGTCTACTTGTCTGTTTCTGGTCGTTCATGACTAAAGTGTGGTAGAGTAGACAAAGACACGCCACGAGATGCAAGAGAGACGTATTTGTCAAGTGGTTAGCCTACTGAACTTCGAAGCGAATAGGTTGGGTTCTAGTTCTTCGTGTTGTATTCTTGGGCTAGATAATTTATATTGAACAACCCTCTCCTCCTTCTCTCAACCCAGTAGTAAATGATAACTATTGAACTGTAAGTAAAATCCAAGGAAATTGGGGGAGGGGATGTGGTAACCTGTGGTGGACTGACATTTTATTCAGGAGAAGTACTCCTAGTTGCTTCATTCCACAGCGCCCGAGCTCAACTACAGCAGCTGTGTAGGTCAGCCTCGTATACAAACGATGTTAAGACACGAATAAGTTGCCTCTGGAGTCCTTGACTGTCTTTGTCTTTAAAACCAACAATGAAGAGTATTTCTGGCCGTTTAGTCATGTTTATTTTTTTTTTAACACAGGCAATAAAAGCCCTTTCAAACTTGTACACTTTGATGGGTGAAGAGGAGAAGGCTTGCCGAATTTTTGAAGAAAACGAGTCGGCTGTCAGTGATTTCAGGTAAGAGCGTACTTATTCCTTTTCTCCTTCATCATTATATTTTAAGTTACTTTTGGCACTTGGACAAACTACCTTCATTTTGCGCGACAGAAAGACCAAAACGAAGGAAAGACTCACTAAGAAAGTACAAGGATATAGTGAAGGATAGAAACATTGATACGGATTCCATATATATATATATATATATATATAATCATTATAATATATTATATTATAATATATATATATATAGTCATTATAATTTAATTATCATGACTGTGACTGTCACTTCATAGGACAAGTTACATCTTTTGTCAGTCCCTCCCCTTCCTCTCCTCCCCTCCCCTCTACTCCCCTCCTTTACTTAACCCCTAACCCTTGGATCGAAGTTTGAACTAAACTTAACTAAACCTGTTGCTTGCTAGGAATAAAACATTTTCATTTTTTACTTTTTCTCGAAGCACGGAGTAGAACGGGTGATAATATGTGATCACACTTTTTTGACTCCGTAAAATAGGTCTTTTTGCCTAAAGTTTTCTTAAAAGTTATAACTCGCCATGAAGGGTTGTCGTTAACTGTCGCTGATATTTCCTATTCATGTGATGACAATTACTAAACAACTTTCTTGATTTCACGCGATGGTCTGGTTTCCTGTGGCAAGCTATACTTTGGTTATTTTTCATCGGGATCAACCTTTTCAGTTTGCAGCTTGTTTGAGTTGGAAGTGTTTCAGTCATTCTCTCAATCGAACACTTTACCAATCGTTTGCAGTTGAAGATCGTGTTTTTGTAATGGAACCTGACCTTTGAATCTTCCCCTACATTAACATTTGCATTCACATGTACATTTCAACAACTAAAGGGACTTTTAAATTTTTCTTCTAAGCGAAAATATAAAAAGCTGGAAATTGATCGATACCATGAGGTAAATAAGAACATCAACAAGAGAAAATCAATTTGAGAATTTCTCTCTCATCCGCGATTATACATTTTTTCGATTGTAGTCTCGATGTCGAAGTGCCACGGAATTCCACAAGCAAAGATTCCGACTGGAGTGATCCTACAGAAGGTAGTGCCTTCTCCTCTGGGGATAGTAGCGACAATAATGTTTCGGTGGCGGAGGCAGAACTTCTGGATGAAGAGGAGCTTGAATTCTGTGAAATGGACCAGCAAGGTACGAGGAAACTTACACCAAGGGAGCGGCCATTATTTAACCTTTTAACTCCTAGATCAAATTTGTAATTCTCCTTGCTATCAACCATACAATTCTTATAATGTTAGTTCAGAGAATTTAGTATTGGATAAACCAATTATCCCCAAATTGATATTTTTCTTATTCTTATCAATTATCTGGTTGATATTATATCGATATTTTATGGAGAAATTCTGTCTTGGAAAAGAAAAGTACACATAATCATTGCGGGAGCCAGGGAGTAGAATGCACTTTCCCTCTGTTTATTTCTTGGGATTTATCAAATAGAGAATATTGATGGAAACCTCAACATGATAATTTTCTGGGATAAGGATAGACAAAAGGGAGCAAAGAAGCTAATTACACCATGACAACATAAATTAAATATCAAAATACGAATTATATTTTCAATCTACAGAAATGGATGAGGAAGTGGAAGCTTCAGAGGCGCACTCCCCGCGGGTAATCATGAGAGCCATGAATTCAGCCTCTAAAACGAGGACCCAAGGTACAGTAGAACGTGTTTTCTCTTACTAGTCGGTTTGATGGGTGATGATAGTTTACCTTTTGACCCCTAAGTGTGACAAGCATCTAATTTCTCCTTACAATATCACACCTGAATCGTACATTAAGGTGTCGAGAATAAAGGAAATGATCACCAATTAAGAAGCTCTTGATTGTTTAACAAATTCTCCTGTGTGTGGAGAATAGTCAGGATAATATGCACACTGATGTTAGGATGTAACTACGTCTTGTCAACTTTTTTAAAGCCACTTGCTTGTCTTGGTGACTATCGGGAAATGTATAACATTTCATTAAAAGGAACCGCTTTATCTGGTAATCTTTCGAAGATTGATGCAGTAACTGGTTCTTCGAGCTATAAAAGTGAAATTTGAAAGGTGAAAATGACATTCCCCCTATCAATCAAGAAGAAGTCTATACTATAAAAAAATTCAGGTCGTCATTCCTCCGATCATCAGTATGAGTTGGTATGACGTCAAATTTCATGGCACATTACCTGAGAAAACCTTATTTTAGTGAAGATTTTTTGATATGCAAATAATTATTACGGCCCATTAAAGGCTCGAGGTTGAAGGAAAAAATTTCAAAAAGCGTATTTTCTTACCAAGTGCGATAATTTATTATTACAAAGAGTGACAGATTTTTTGTTACGAAGTGCGACGAAAAGTTTTTGTAAAGGTCGCCAGGTATTACAAAGTGCGACAATTTTTTTACATAGTGCGACAGGTATTACAGAGTGTGACGATTATTACAAAGTTCGACAGAACAGAGTTTCTTATTTTGGGCGGGCAACTACAAAGGATGATTTTCCAATGGATGTTACTCTGCATTCTCCAAAAGAAAAAAAACTTATTGCCACTAACATGATCCTGTTTCTGTCCAAACAGACATGTATATAAAGAGTGAATCAAAGCCTGAGCCGGTGAAGAGCATCGGCACTTGTGACGCCGAGAGAGAACATAAGGCATTAAGGCGAGCTAAGGCGAAGCCACGCATGGTTGTGTACTCAAGAGGTTAATGTTAATCTCGTGATTTTAATGTTTTCTTTGTCTTCGTTCTTTTATTAGAGTTAGTGTATCAATATCAGTATCTGGGCAACTGCCCACCTACCCCTCCCCTAACTCAACAACAGTCAGTTGACAACAAGTTAAGGTTAATGTTGGGTTAGGGGAGGGGTAGGTGGGCAGTTGCCCAAATACTGATATTGATCCGAGTTAGCTTGATTTCTACTAGTTTGTTTGCTTGCTTATTTTCTTTGTGCAAAACTGTGCCTGCGTGCTACAATGTAGACTGCGTAAAGTGTTATCATTACACGTAGTTCGAAGTTCAAACTTAGTACAGTAGAAAAGTACACATAATCATTGTGGGAGCCAGGGAGTGGAATACACTTTCCCTCTGTTTATTTCTTGGGATTTATCAAATAGAGAATATTGATGGAAACCTCAACATGATAATTTTCTGGGATAAGGATAGACAAAAGGGAGCAAAGAAGCTAACTACACCATGACAACATAAATTAAATATCAAAATACGAATTATATTTTCAACTTACAGGCATGGATGAGGATGAGGATGAGGAAGAGGAAGCTTCAGAGGCGCCCTCCCCGCGGGTAATCACGAGAGACATGAATTCAGCCTCTAAAACGAGGACCCAAGGTACAGCAGAACGTGTTTTCTCTTACTAGTCGGTTTGATGGGTGATGATAGTTTACCTTTTGACCCCTAAGTGTGACAAGCATCTAATTTCTCCTAACAATATCACACCTGAATCGTACATTAAGGTGTCGAAAATAAAGGAAATGATCGCCAGTTAAGAAGCTCTTGATTGTTTAACAAATTCTCCTGTGTGTGGAGAATAGTAAGGATAATATGCACACTGATGTTAGGATGTAACTACGTCTTGTCAACTTTTTTAAAGCCACTTGCTTGGCTTGGTGACTTTCGGGAAATGTATAACATTTCATTAAAAGGAACCGCTTTATCTGGTGATCTTTCGAAGATTGATGCAGTAACTGGTTCTTCGAGCTATAAAAGTGAAATTTGAAAGGTGAAAATGACATTCCCCCTATCAATCAAGAAGAAGTCTTTCACTATGTATATATCAGTATGAGTTGGTATGACTTCAAATTTCATGGCACATTACCTTAGAAAACCTTATTATTGTGAAGATTTTTTGATTTGCAAATAATTATTACGGCCATTAAAGGCTCGAGGTTGGAGGAAAAAATTTCAAAAAGCGTATTTTCGTACCAAGTGCGATAATTTATTATTACAAAGAGTGACAGCTTTTTTGTTTCGAAGTGCGACGAAAAGTTTTTGTAAAGGTCGCCAGGTATTACAAAGTGTGACGATTATTACAAAGTTCGACAGAACAGAGTTTCTTATTTTGGGCGGACAACTACGAAGGATAATTTTCCGATGGATGTTACTCTGCATTCTCCAAAAGAAAAAAAACTTATTGCCACTAACACGATCCTGTTTCTGTCCAAACAGACATGTATACAGAGAGTGAATCAAAGCCTGAGCCGGTGAAGAGCATCGGCACTTGTGACGCCGAGAGAAAACCTAAGGCATTAAGGCGAGCTATGGCGATGCCAGCTATGGCGATGCCACCCTTGGCTGTGTCCTTAAGAGGTTAATGTTAATCTCGTGATTTTAATGTTTTCTTTGTCTTCGTTCTTTTATTAGAGTTAGCGTATCAATATCAGTATCTGAGCAACTGCCCGCCCACCCACCCCTCCCCTAACTCAACAACAGTCAGTTGACAACAAGTTAAGGTT